ACATAGACAGTCATCTGACATACTGAAGATTCCTCTGATTTGTTTATGCAATCACTATTAGAATCATAGTAAATTAGGGTTGGAAGGCACTTCAGGAGAGCATCTGGTCCAAGCCCCTGCTCAAAGCAGGACCATCCCCAACTATATCATCCCAGCCAAGTACAGGATTATTAGAACAGGGTTGATCTTTTGACCTATTGCATGGAGAATATTTGCAGTGGTAACGGTAGTCCCCAACATCAACAGTTATAAAAATGCTCCTGTATTTAGAAAATGGTAGAAAAGGGAAATCTTTCAGTTAGGTTCAACAGTCAGTCAATATACTTCTGCATCTATTCCACAATCTTGGATGATTTGTGATAAAAGAAGAAATGTCTACCTTAACCCCAGTCAGAGACTGTTAATTACATTGAGCAATTCTGAACTTATCGGCTGGATCCAGATATGCAGGCACACGCGGTTTGTAGCATAACAAACCTCTGTCTGGTGCCACAAACTACACACCGGGCACATTAAAATGTGCCCTGCTCTGCAAATTGGCAGCACAGGGGCAAAATTTGCTACCAGGAAATCCTGATAGCAATTTTTTTTTTAAAGGGCCACAGAAAAGCAACATAGTAATGAACATATCAATGTTAGGCATGCACAGCTGTCCTGTCCTCTTCAGTAATGCTTGGGGTGCTGGGAGATACAGAATGGAGCTTACAGGCATGGTCTTAAAGTTGTAAGAGTGATGGCATCTCTATGTTATTGAACAGATACACTAAATGCCTGCCTCAGTGTTTTACATCTTTTGCCACCTTGCTCTTAAGGGATTCATAGATTCCTAGATTCCGGGGTCAGAAGGGACCTCAACAGATCATTGAGTCCAACCCTCTGCCTAGGCAGGAAAAAGTGCTGGGATCAGATGACACCAGCCAAATACCTATCCAGCCTTCTCTTAAAGACCCCCAAGGTAGGAGAGAGCACCACCTCCCTTGGAAGCCCATTCCAATTTTTGGCCAACCTCACCATGAAGAATTTTTTCCTGATATCTAGCGTAAATCTGCTCTCTGTCAGTTTGTGACCATTGTTCCTTGTTACCCCAAGAGGTGTCCTGCTGA